ATAGTGGGATTGACCGTCTCACTATAACGCCCCCACGGCTGAAAGGGCGAGGATGTTTGGTGTGACGAGGATTCGAACCCGCGACCCACATATTGCGAGTCGAGCTCCCTAACCACCTGGCCATGCCGGGGCCCTAACCACCTGGCCATGCTGGGTCGCGTGGTGGGAGATATGCGCTAGTTTTAGAACTGGTTTCGATTAGGTTATCGGCTCTATAGCTAGTGATACGTTAGAAACACAAAGACACTGTTTTTCAAATGTTATACAGTATCGTTTCAGTTAAGCATCCTCTCGTGTACGTTATCAATATCACGTATACCGTAATTAATTCATTTTCAACACGCTACTCGTATTTCTACTGTGAATTAAATGTGATCGTTTGTATTATAACATATTTTTTTAAACTGCAATTTTGACTGTTAGTGCCCCCTGGTGGTTTTTTGTAACGCAGTTCAGTAGCAACAATTAATTATACGTGTCATGAAACATTAGTATTAGGCCTATTATATTTTTTAACTAGCCATTCTTTGTCTAACCCACCCCCTTAGGAATCTTTAAAAATTAGAAAATAAGAAACGTAAGGGTAATTCAATGAAAAAAAATATATATATGGTAATAAAAAACTTCTGATTAAAAATTGACAACGATATATATATGGTAAATAAAACTTCAGAGGAAAAATTTACAACTATATATATATGGTAATTAAATCTTGTAAAATTTTTATTAATGAAAAATAATTGACTCAGTTTATATATTCCAAAATTAATACTTTTTGAATTTTAAAAGTTTTTTTTTTTGCTTATGTTAATACAATTGCTTACAATTGTTTCGTATTTAGTTTTAGCTTTGTTACTCCCAATAATGCAATAATTAAACATTGTTATACAAGGATGTTTAACTAGATGGAAAAAAAAATTATCTAAATTCGTGATTTATGAAAGGTAGAACATGAAAAGTCGCTTCTCTTATATGTAATTATTGTAAAAAACGTAAAAAATGGCCATAAAAACCGCAAAATGTAAAACCACTAATTTGCACGTATCTCCGCATGGACCTAACAAATCTTCATGCCGAATTTGGTGAAGATCCATCAACAGGGGGCGAAGTAGTGGTAAAAAACCCCCATAAAAATCTAAAACCGCAAAATTGAAAACTGAAAATTTGTATGTATCCCCTCTTGGGCCTAATGAAGTTTCATGCCAGTTTTGGTGAAGATCAATCCACACTCTGTGAAGTGGTGTTAAAAAACACCCATAAAAACCGCAAAATGTAAAATTGAAAATTTGTCTCTATCTCCACACGGACCCAAAAAACCTTCATTTGATAAAGATCCATCAACAGGGGGCGAAGTAGTGGTAGAAAACGCCCATAAACAAAATGTAAAACTGAAAATTTATAAATATATATCTCCATATGGACCTAATGAACCTCCATACCAATTTGGGCGAAGATCCATTCACACCCTGCGAAGTAGTTACATGGACAGACAAGAGACAGTACATATTTATATACATTCGCGTGTCGGTTTCTGTAAATGAGATTTTGTGCTTATTGGTATGTAGAAGGTTCATTTCGTTTCTTATTTAACGATGTTTTAATTTATATCATGAGTAAGGGCTTTTGTCTGAAACGGTGAAATGAAATTAAGAACAATTCCACTGTTTGATTTTTTATTTAACTTTTCGTAATTAATATTATCTTTTCAAGCCTTGTGTAGCTGTAAACTATTACGACAAAATGCGATCGTAAACTCATTAAACGACCACAGCGCCATCTAGTGACTTAACAAATCTGTAATAAAATTTAAAATAATCTTTGAAAGCCGGCGAAGGATTAGAAACCATCAGGCCTAAGATTTGTGATACATATTACTTTAAGTGCAAGTGTATTTTTCCACATTACTTTCAATTTGTCATTTTATTTCGAACCAAAAGGAGAGGATAGGAAGAAATTATTACTCTGTATAAAAATTATTACTCTGTATAAAATTATTACTCTGGTATAAAATTATTACTCTGGTATAAAATTATTACTCTGTATAAAATTATTACTCTGTATAAAAATTATTACTCTGTATAAAAATTATTACTCTGTATAAAATTATTACTCTGGTATAAAATTATTACTCTGGTATAAAATTATTACTCTGTATAAAATTATTACTCTGTATAAAATTATTACTCTGTATAAAATTATTACTCTCTTTAAAATTATTACTCTATATAAAATTATTACTCTCTTTAAAATTATTACTCTGGTATAAAAATTCGTATATTTTCCACGATTATCCGTTTAAAATAATAAATATGGCAGTGTAACTTCTGTTGCGCATGCGTCCATTTTTAACATCACCCGTAATAGTTCAGACAAACTTACCATTGTTACTTCTGTTGCGCATGCGTCCATTTTTAACATCACCCGTAATAGTTCAGACAAACTTACCATTGTTACGTATTTCTGGTAGTCGTTTGTTTGTAATTAAGCACAAAGCTACACCATGGGCTCTGCCCACCACGGGTATCGAAACCCGGATTCTAGCGTTGTAAGTCCGCAGACATACCGCTGTGCCACTGGGGGGGGGGCATTTCTGTTAGTAATATTGGAATATTTTAAAGCAGCATGAATAATTTGTGGATAATTGACCTTGACATTTCATAATAAGATTAAATAGGAAAAACCTGAAATTCGATCATGTTTTGTTTATTTTTCTACTTTGTTAATAAACGCAAGAGCCATTTCTTTTTTTACTGCAAGATGAGGACGTCTTTACCAGTTCGATGACGAGGAACCCACTTTGAGACTAATAATGGCTGGAGACGGCTTAAATGGGTAATGAAGAAAAACTTTAATATAAGTACCTGAAGTATCAGGTACCTGATGATGACAAAACCTTGTCGAAACGTTGTACATTTGCTGTCATGTTAAACTTATATTAAAGTTTT